GCCGCCGCAGCGCGAAGATTAGAAGACCTCCTCGCCTTCCTCAGGAGATACACCGTCCTGCGAGAACGGAAGACGTCGACCCAACAGCGAAGTACTGTCGGGGATCAAGCCGAGCCGACATCGTCTGATCACAGGAGGTCCAAGTCCCGTGTACTTCCTAGGAATCCTCCTCGCCCGCCTCCACCTTTCACCGCAGCTGCTGCCGCAAGGAACACTCCTCGCAGAGCGCGCAAATCTCGCGAGAGCCCATGCCTATTCTGTGGCAGCTCCGAACATCGACCGTCCACTTGCACCGCTGAAATCACAATGAGTCAACGTTTGGAAACTCTCGCACAGCGCCGACGGTGTGTGAGGTGCTTTCAGTTCGAGCATCCACCATCCCGTCGATGTACGGGACCCAAAGAGCCTTGTCGAAAGTGTAACAGCTCAGAGCATTACACGGTCATGCATGAACAGTCTGGCGGTCAGGCGAACCCTCGAACAACGGCCAGTATTCTACAAACTGTCGCAGCCGCCTCAAGCGCTCGCTCCGTCGTCATGACCGCTAGCGCATTCGTCATCTTCGGACGTTCGAGGATCAGGATCCGATGCTTCTTCGACAGCGGGTCAATGGTCTCCTTCGTTACCAGCAAGCTGATTCGCCAGCTTCCGGGCATCCCACCAGAGGCTCGCGTCGACCTAAATCTACAGGCTTTCGATAGCCAACACGCCATCACCACGAATCGTTACGCTCTCCGGCTGGTGGGTGCTCGCGACGAGTGCGAGTCGATCGAGATTCACGCCCACGAGTATGATTTCGGTGTCGACCCTCCATCTAACTGCTCGGACCAAATGCGACAACTCATTCGGCATTTCGGAGTGACGCATCCGCTGGCCGACCCATCCATCATCGATCACGTCGACGATGCTGCTCCTGATCTGTTGATTGGAGTAGACCAAATGTACAAGATTCTTCACCTGAACAAGGAAGCCGTAATCGATGGGAACTTGATCGCCAAATCCTCGAGATTCGGTTGGCTGATCTCCGGCTCTTACGGACCCAATTCGACTCGCGGCGATGTAGTCCGAGTCCAGCCCATCTGCTGCGCAGCTACGATGTCTCAGCCTGCGGAAGATCTCGAGCGTCTTTGGAAATTGGAGGTGATCGGGCCCGCCGAATCCGCGGAAAGCGACCTGAACGAAGCCGACCATGAGGCACTCCGACAGTTTGGGGATAGCATCGCATACGACGGTCAGCGTTACACTGTCGCTATGCCAAAACGTGATTCCATTGAACAGCTGTCGAACAATCTCGAAACTGCTCTCTTTCGTTTATCGGCGAAACGCCGCGCACTAACGCGCGATCCCGAGTCCCTGGATCGATACGATAGAGAAATCATGGCCTTCGTTCGAGCAGGTCATGCGGAGGAAGTCTTCGATGCCGATCTGACAGCTCCAAGCGCTCGGGACCACCGATTCTACTTGCCGCATAGACAAGTCATAACCCAGAGAGAAGATGGGGACAAATGGAGGATCGTTTTCGATGGATCTTCCTCAGCAGCCGGCGAGACATCGCTCAACTCTCATTTGTTAGCCGGCCCAAATCTGAATCCAGACATTCTGCGTCTCCTTTTCAACTTCCGACTTCGAGCAGTGGCCCTCTCAGCTGACATCGTACAGGCTTACATGACCATGACCTTGCTGCCGAGGATCGCCCCCTCTTCCGTTTCCTGTGGCAGGGACCCAAGGATACAAGAGTTCGCTGTTTCCAATTTCGAAGGGTACCCTGGGGCGCCACACCCAGTGGATTTTTGCTCGCCGCCGTTCTGCGCGAACATTTCAGGCGGATCGATCCGACGTTAGCCTACGATTTGGGTAGCTCGTTCTATTTCGACGATATGCTCCGCAGTTTCGACTCAGAAGCAGAAGCGATCCAGTTCTGCGACAAAATCATGGATTGGATGCAATCAGCGAGCATGAGTCTCGGGAAATGGAAGTCCAACTCGCGGGGCGTCATCGACCATCTCAGGACTCGATCGATCCTCTCGAGATCATCCGCCGTCTTGGTCGAGACTGGACTACTCCGGGTCCTGGGCATCGCTTGGGCTCCGGAGAGCGACCAGTTCCAGTTTCAAATGTCGGATGTCAGCCGGCTTGCGGGGGCGGGGAAGACCGCCACCAAGCGGCAGGTGCTTCGCGTGGTCGCTTCGATCTTTGACCCGGTCGGCTGGTTGATTCCCTTCACACTTCGAGGCAAGCTACTTGTCCAGCGACTGTGGTCACAGACGCTTCGATGGGACGATCCGCTCTCCGGTCCCCTGCTCGACGACTTCCGGGAATGGGTGGCCGAGATCCCGACCCTATCGCGCCTTCGAATCCCTCGTTTGTATGGGGATCCTGGCAGAGGAGTCATCGGATATCAACTCCATGTGTTCGGCGACGCCAGCGAGAAAGCGTATGCTGCCGCCGCCTACCTCCAGACCTTGTACGCCGACGGAGGCAGTGGCTGTTCACTCCTGATGTCCAAGTCCCGCGTGGCTCCTAAAGAGAAGGTCTCAATTCCCCGACTCGAATTGTTGGCTGCCTTGCTCAGCTCTCGTCTAGGAGCTTTCGTCACCGAGAGGCTGGGAGCGAAACTCGATAGGACGACCTACTACACCGATTCAGCGGTCACTTACTATTGGTGTATCGCAGAAGAACCCACCAGGTGGAAAACTTGGGTCTGCAACAGAGTCACCGAGATCCAGAAGCTTACTTCTTCGAAACAGTGGTTTCACGTCGAGGGGAAGCATAATGTCGCTGATATCGCATCTCGGGGTACGTCCGCTCAGGATCTTCTCTCGAACCCGGAGTGGTTTGGAGCTCCCTCGTGGCTGTCTGAACCTGAGGACCATCGACCGGTAAAGCGCCTGCGGGCCGGTTGTGACAATACGGATTCAATTAGTAAGGAACTCCGATTAGTAGTCACTCCCGCAGTCGTTGCGCCTGAATTGGTAGATCTTCAGCGATTCAGTAGCTGGGAAAAATCGCTCAGGGTAGTGGCGAACGTGCTTCGATTCGTTCGGCGTTGCCGCCGCCGTAACGTTGGCGACTCCGTCGGGGAGGCCGAATTACGGTCGCAGTCCGAGCTACTCCTCATCAAATGGACTCAGTCTGCCTACTTTGCGAACGAGATCACGGCCACTCTGGCTCACGAGAGACCTACGAGATCATCAAAGCTCACGTTATATCGGCTACATCTGGATGATAACGGGCTCCTTCGAGCTCAGTCTCGACTCACTGCTGCCAATCATTTCACATATGACGAGAAAAATCCCATCATCATTCCGGGCGAGAGCAGACTCGCTACCCTGCTTATATTACATCATCATCGACTCAATGCCCACATGGGCGTAAGCACGATTCTTAACGCCTTACGACGACGTTTCTGGATCCTGCGCGGTCGCCAGGTCATCAAGAGGCTTCTTCGAGGTTGCGTTGTCTGCAATCGAGCGCAGGGACCCGGCGCTGATCAGGTTCAGGCTCCTCTGCCGCTCGAGAGAGCCTCATTGGTCGCTCCGTTCACCGTGACCGGCGTCGATTTCTGTGGACCCTTTCACACCCGTTCCCGAGAAGGTCCCGTGAAAAATTACATCGCGCTTTTCACCTGCACCAGCATCCGCGCTCTACACCTCGAACTGGTCCCGGTCATGTCGACGCTCCAGACTCATCTTGCCTTGCGCAGATTCCTCGCGGAACACCAATCGTGTCGCAAGTTCATCTCCGATAACGGTCGCTCCTTTGTCCGCGCCGCAGCCGATATTCGTCGACTCTTCAGCGAGATCCGTAATCCTCAAGTTCGGGAATTCTCGCTCAACATCGTATCGAATGGGTCTTCAATTGTCCCGGGCCAGTTGGAGAGGCGGGTTTTTGAACGTCTCGTCGCGTTACCAAGAGATGTTTGATCAAAACTCTTGGCCGTTGCCTCGTCAGCTCAGAGGAGCTACGTACCATAATTCGCGAGTTATCGGCCACGATAAACGATCGACCGCTCTCGTATGTTTGTGACGACCCGAGGGAGATGCGAGCCATCACTCCTTCCCATTTTCTTCACGGAGGGCCACTCGAGTCCCCTCTCTGTGCGCGATTTCCTCTAGACAGCTTGGGGCCGAACGGGAGTGTTCCGGACATGCCACCAGGTGCAGAAGTGCTACGCAGAGCCTTGCTGGAGCGGACCAATTACTTCAAATCCCTCTCTTCGCGCTGGCGTCAGGAATACATGTTGCTTCTACGCTCGGCGAACCTCGATCGAAAGGGAAAACCTCGCCCGCTGACCGATGATTCTATCTGCCTGCTAAAAGAAGACACCATTCCAAGGTCGAAATGGCACATGGTTCGTGTACTTCGAGGCCATCCCGGCCGTGATGGCGCAGTACGAACATACTCCGTACGTTTCTCGAACGGCTTTGAGAGTAGACGAGCTGCCCAAACGCTTATTCCCTTAGAAGTCCCTGACCGAATCGACGAAGAGACTCCTGCAGTGTAAATAATCGAAAGTCCTCATAATTGTGCTGAAACGTCTCGTTTCAGGGAGGCAGTGTTAAATTCCGTTGTAATATTGCTGGGAATCTCCTAGAAATCAGTCTATCATGGCTCTTATCCGACGCGGTGTCGTCCGCTACGAATACTCTCCCTCGGCGATGCCGAATCGCTCTCATTCTCAATAAAAGTCAGTTGTGATGTACTCTCGGTCGAGGGTGTCTCGTCAGTTAAGCGCTGGTGTCCTAACTTTCTATCGCCGGAACGATCTCGGAACCGAACTCGGGGAGTTGTGATCGCTAGAATCCGTCTCTCGTAACGCTCGATTTAACAGGAAGTAACGGTCAAAAAAATAGAGCCCTCCTCTGGACGATGGCTGGAGGGCAAGAATTCGTCTCTCTGATTTTCGCATCGGAAAGTGGAATCGCTCTGTTATTTTCCGAAATCAGACCAGTTTTCGAGGACTTATGCAAGGACCAAAGAGACGACCTCTCGCCTTCCCTTCCAGCTGACAATGGATACTATGAGGGGGGGGGGGAGGCTCTATTCGTTTGACCGTTCACTCCATATGGCAGACGAATTTTTTCTCAGCACCAGGTGAACGGATTTTTCAAAGTAAATAGACGAATCGGCAGCCCTTTTCCCGCACTACAAGATGCCGATCACACCGAGCCGATGCGACACCCTCGTCCCGACTTATGAGGCTTTCGAAATCAGATTGGAAATTTCGAAAATAAGCGATATTGAGACGGCTGTAACTCCCTCAAAAGTATTCAAATGTCCAAAGCAGTGGCGTACGCAGGATTTTTCTTGGGGGGTGCTAAATCGGGTCTCCGCATGGGGCTGAAATCCGATATGGCGTATTCGCTCCTATACTACAGCATT